TTGCACTGACATGTTCGAATACAGCTTTTTTCTCGTCAACTACAGAAGCCTGGAATTCGCTGCACGGAAGTGTTCGTTCTCTACCCCTTCAAGAATTTTCAGAAGCCAAGAATTTTCAAGAATTTCAATAATTTTCAGATTGATGTTGATTTGCTCTTGTTGTTGTTTTCTTTCCACTCCTGCAATAGACTCACTAAGACTGCAGTATGTTAAAATAAATAAAATGAATAAACTCCTCAAGGCGAAGCTCAATCATTCTCCTACCCCCCCCCCCCCCCCCCCTAAATGCTGTCTCCACAACATCGTCTGCGAAACCCAGAAACCAGCGAGGCTGCCGAAATCGAAAGAGTGCTCTAGTCGCGAGTGTTCCGAGGAAGCCGCTGCTCCAAAAAGCCGATAGAAAGAAGCGCGGGCCACGCTGCCGAATCAAGGAATCGCGTGGAGCTCTCGCACCAAGCCGATCGACCTACACACGGTCCCACGCGAGAAGCGGACCACAATGCCCCGAAAGGCTCCACGGTGTTCAAGAGCAACCGCCCAGGGGTCAAACAGCCCGGCGGGCGATGCCGAAGCAGTTTGTGGCCACGCACATAAAAAGGGGAAGGTGTTCGATTGAGAAAGAGAGAAGAAAAAAAGAGCGAAGGGAGTCCACATCGTCGCCTCTGCAGGATCGGCCACTAGAGGACGCGCGAAGCGCGGAAGATAGCGCGTCCAATTTCGTCGTACACGAAATAAGTGAAAATAAACAAACGAGAGACCTTATCGACTGGGAACGAAAAATAAAGGGAAAAGGGGGGAAAAGATGACATAACGAAAACAATAAAGACTAATGGCGGGGATACGACCACCTCACATGCACTACACACTAACCCCGAGGACCCAACTGAACGAGAAGAAAATGGAAAATAAACAAAGAAGAGAGTGCAAAACATAACAAAGCGGCGGAAAGCGCCCATTTTAAGTTCCGCGAACCCGCGGGCACAGTCCGGACGAGAAGAGCAGCACCGCAAGGGCTCGAAACGCGCTCCGGCCGCTGGGGTTTGCTGTTGCTGCTACCGCGCTGCCACCACCACAAGTACGGCCATACGCGCGCGCGAACTCGCAAGCCAGCAAGCGCGCGGCAATCAATGCGCGAGGACGCGCAACGACGGCCATCTTCCCTTTGCCCTCTCAGCTCTTTGACAACTTGCACTCTCCTCTCATTCTCCTCTCCCGTATCATTCGCTTCCCCGGAATAAACGGCTGTTAAAGGAGAGAAAAAAAAAAAAGAAGGAAGTAGGCTGGAGAAAGGGCGTTGCAGAAGGGACGGGAAAGCGGGTCTCATTCTCACCCGCTGCTCCCTAAATCTCCAGTTATCGAGAACAAGAAGCAAATTGGAGGAGGTGAAGGAGGGAGAAGGCGTGGGGAGGAGGGCGAGGCGCTCGGAACAACGGTGCGCGGGAAAGCCGATATTTCGCCCCCGGCTGCTGCTCTTCGCGCTGCGGACGTCGTCGAACTCCTCCTCCCCTCAACCTGTTTCTCTCTTCCCTTCCTCCTCCCCCCTCGAACCTGTTTCTCCCCTCCCCCCACCCCCAAACAAAAGGAACGGTAACGACGGCACCAGTGAGATGACAGACGCAGAAAACGTGACCGCGCGACTATTGAACAGACGACTTGACGCGACGGTTTAGAAGAATGCGCGATCCCATATACGGGAGTGTGGCAGCTTGGGCTAGTTGGTATGGCATGACGATAGTTATAGCGCGAGAACAAAACGACGACACGGAGACAAGACAAGTGTCTTTCGTGTCCTTCTTGTCTCTGTGGTTCTCGCGCTATAACTATCGTCATCCCGTACGGGAACGACGAAACACCGCAGCAGCGGCACGCAGCAGTCGTCTCTTCGGGATACCCTCGGGTTTCGGCAGTGTCGATATTCCATCGATCGACCCGAGAAATGGCACGTGCCGCGCTCGTAGACAATCGACCCGAACGGCATCTCTTTTAACTCACTAAAGCCCCGGCATTAAAGAACCTTTCGCGAGACCTATAGGGTGTTGCATGTTGGCCCCGGCCATCGGTGCCCTTCTCGGTCTCCTCGCTAAAGGTACACGTTCTTTTCAATCGTCGACCTCAACAGCGTGCATCAGTCGGTTTCGAAGCATGTATTGCAACAAACAGCCAGGGAAATACTCGTGGTTTCGACGGGAATGAAATACGCCGGAAGCCATGTCACAATATATTATTCCGCAATATAATACAATATATTACACGCGATATGTTACCCGGAAGGCCGGTTGTTTCGTCGAGCGTGTAAATTGCAGTAGGAATTCTCTCACTAATTAATTTAACAAGCGTGATGTTGAGCGTGTCTGAACGTACAAGAACAGACGTCACCCGACGACCGCCAAAACTCGCTGATGCAACGCTGGCGCGGTAAACAAGCTTAAATCGACGGTGTCCAAAGCGTTGAGATGGCCCAACCTTGAACACAACGCGCGTGCAAGGACAGTGCACATCTGCAGGCAACGGTCACCGACAAAGCCGCCAAGCCATCGAAGCCTTCCACCTGCCTCCCCAACCAGGCCCGACTTAAACGCATCGCGGTGCCTCTCAAAGGCCTGACCCCACGGATCCGTCGCAACGCGTCAGCGCGAGTCTTTCTGACGCGGTACCACGTCCTCTCTCTTTAGATGGAATGGGCACGTGGCTACGCAAAGCTGCTCTCTCTCCACATGGGAGAGAGCTAGACGCCGCGTCATAAAGACACGCGCCGACGCGCTGCGACTGATACGTGGGGTCAGGCCTTCAGTGCGGCAAACGCGTCGCGCTTTCCGCGCAACTCCATCGCCACGCTTGACAAACCGAGCGGTCATCCTGTGCATCGCGAGCGCTTGATCCCGCGCCTTAGCGTTAGCCGTCACTATAACGGACGCGGCCTGTCAATGGTGGTCTTATACAGGCGAACGCCTGCTCGAAGCATTGTTTCAAGTATCTCGTCTGTGCACGTCATATATCCTATTTCCCCGATTCTCCTCTCTCTGGTAACGCACATCTTGGATCCTTCACGAATGCGAAAATTTGTGACAGCATTTTGTTTTCTCTAACAGCAGCATTTGTCTCCAACTTTCTACCCCCCGCACCACAAGTAAAAAAAAAACTAGCCACGCAGTTATACCAAAGGCAATTCGACATGATGGCTGGCATTCCATGTACAGTGTATATTTTTATGAAAGGGAACACGGGAGCGCGTGGCATGCGCGCTCAGGCGGCTGCTGGCAGCGCATTTTCTAGCGGGAGCGAGAGCAACCACTGTCTCTTTTAGCGTCATCTCACAGCGAGCAAAACAACCATTCGTTGCTGATATGGAACCAGCGGCAAGATATCGACCCCCTCCCCCTTCAAGGCGATCACGCGAGAGCTGGTAATCCCCTTGAAGGGGGAGGGGTTGCAAGCTTGCCGTTCTATATCAGCCACAAATGAATTGTTTTGCTCGCCATGAGATGGCGCGAAAAAGGACAGTGGTTGCTATCACTCCCGCTTGAAAGCGCTGCCAACAGCCGCCGGACCGCGCAGGCCCCGCGCTCCCGTGTCCCCTTTCATAAAAATTTACGCTGTACATTATCTCGCACTATATAGAGTACGACGAGCTAGAAGCGATAGGGTTTTATCGCCTATCGATATAGCATCCACAATCAAGAATGGCAGAAAGCTGAGTTAGCTCGTAAGGGTTCATCTCTTAAATATATATAGGTGTGCGAACACAAGCGAAGAGATAAAAAGTGCGAGGTTGCGGAAACAGGCGCAAAGTGGAGAAAAAGAAAGTAGACAATCACTTGTATGCGTCAGCCTGCGCAGGGTTCCGCATAATGAGAGGTGGGTAAGATCAATCGCTGCGTCCCCCTACCAAGAGAATTTACGGGATATATTTCAACCCCTCCGTTCATCTTAGATCACTAGCCTATTCCTGCCAGTGCACACGTTCATGTTTACATGGCCTATTCCATGTTTATAAACAGTGCTAGGTACTGTCGACATACTGAAGCGACGTCACGGCGCATAGGCTCCATCCACCCAGCCTAAGGCTTGCCCCCGGCTCTCTATGATCACCTGACAAATCGACCACTATGCCATTTGTCAGGTGATCATGGAGAGCGGCGGCGAGCTATAGACTGGCGGCTCCTACGCGCTGTGACGCCACTACAAGCACCTCAAAATGTCGACGGCGCTTACCGCTGTTTACAAATGTGAAATAGGTCTGTACACATGTAGCACCACTTGTCCATCCGCCACCCATGGGTGTAAATGTGACAGATAACCACTCAGGCATTTGATTTCTTTAAGACATGCGGCTCAAAAAGTCATGCGATCAGAGACGCTGTCACAATGACGTCATCATCCCGTCAATTTCTGTAAAAATTTATTATGTCATAGTTATGTAATCCCATAAGCATCGTCGCTCGGCCAAAGGTAGGCTGGTTCCGGAAGCCCTGCGACCACAAGTCAAGTGCAGAAAGCTGCAGCGGGCAGTTGTGAGTACAACCGACACAGTAGAAAAAGAAGGCTGCTTTCGCGTTCTAGCACTATTGCACAGTGAAATCATAAATGAATATTTTTGATATAATACCCAGTCTTCCTTTTTTATTTATTAAATATTTAATCATTCAACATTGTTCAAATTATCTGCCAAGTTTAACACTACGACATCCTGGTCAATCCCCCAGAGTGGGTACGTGCCATATTCTGTAAGGCACAAACAAACAAACATTCCAATTGTCTAAGGCGATTGCATAAGGGGCAAAGCTGCACCTTAATTTTTACAGCTGCACCTAAATATTCACTCGAACGTCGTAAAAAGTGCGATCAAGTCTGGGCATTACGGTACTGCGTAAACTGCGTCAAACGCTTCCACCGGCCTTGTCAGCGCGAGCGAGGAAGAAGATTTCCGGACAGGTGGGTGTGCACCGCAGTAATTAGGCGCCCGAGAACAAGAAAGCATTCTACCTTTAGAAGCTGCAGTCATGGCTCAGGATCGGCCAAAGATACCTGCCAACGTCCTCTGGGAGGTGCTGGACGACGCGCTGACGCACGTCGCCCGCATACTGACGGCCGTCAGTTGCTGCATGCTCCTCGTCGTCGTCACGATCAAACTGAGCCCGCACTTCCTGGACAACGGGGGCGACACGCTGCCTTACACGCCGCTGCCGGACACCGACGAGCAAGTGTCCTTCACCCGAGCCACCAACGCTACGGCCAACGCGTTTTTGCTGATCGGAGTGGTCATCACCATGACCGTACTCATGGTTACTCTCTACTACTACCGCTTCTACTCCATAATCGGCACCTGGATCACGCTAGCTTGCGCCATAATACTCGTTATGTCACCTGTGACATACATTGACATCGTGTTCCATAAGTACAACGTGCCGGCCGACATCTTTTCCGTCGGCCTCTTCGTGTACAACTTCATGGCACTCGGTCTGGTCGTGGTCCTGTACAAGGGCCCCATGCTGCTGCAGCAGTTCTACCTGATCGCCGAGTCTTCCTACATGTCGATCATGTTGTTGAAGTTCCTGCCCGCCTGGACGCTATGGGTCGTGCTGGGCCTCATCCCCATCTGGGACCTGGTCGCAGTTCTGGCCGTCGTCGGGCCTCTCCGGATACTTGTCGAGACGGCCCAGGAGAGGAAAGAGGGCCTTCAGCCGGGACTCGTCTTCTCGACCATGGTCGTGGGCACGTTCCCAGGAATGGCGAAGCGGCATTCGGAACGCAGACCTTCGAAACAGCGACGCTCCCACGGTCGCAGGACGTCTGAGCGGCGGCAGTCCGACGTTCCCAGCCCGTCTTTGCACGGACCAGCGGACGTCGGAGCCCCCGATTTGCCGCTAGACCGCAGGATGTCCAACCGAAGACCCTCGAACACTGGCTCCAGCGTTCCTGAGCCTTACGATATTGCCGAAGACGGGGAGGAACAGGTTATGTTGCCAGTACCTGTGGAGGGAGTGGCGACACCTCAAGGGCTACCGGACGAAGACCAGAAAGCCCCGGTAGACTTTGAGCGCGATTCCAGTTTGGACAGCAGCTCGGAAGATCAGGAGAGCCAGGGCATCAAGATGGGTCTGGGAGACTTCGTCTTCTATAGCGTCCTGGTGGGCAAGGTGGCCACGTTGGGCGACTGGACAATCGTGTGCGCCTGCTTCGTAGGTATCTTGGTCGGCATCTGCGTCACCCTGTTCATGCTGGCCATCATGCAGACGGCGCTTCCGGCACTTCCAGTGTCACTGGCGTTCGGCCTCACTTTCGTCGGATTCCACCAGCTCATTCAGAGCTTCACGAATGAACTGTTCACCAAACAGGCGTTCGTGTGACGCCACAAGCAGCATGGGATTATACCCTGCTTGTGCAAACTAATATAATTCGGTCAACACAACTTACGCTGCGGGGATGAAGTCATACCAATAAGGAGTAAATGTAAAGGTTATATGTAAATGTGTAGAAGGAATATGTAACTATAGGTTCCATGCTACGCTGGGAAAATTGGCCGATAATTCTAACGCGCCAGCACGGCAGCAATAACAACGCTGTTCGAAGAACGAGGCAAGATTGGTGGCCATATTAGTTACCTTGCATTATGGTCGCTGTACGCTAACACTACAAAATATGTGATGAACCGAACGCGTGGTGATCTGCCAGAAGTAATGTAGCAAGTGAGGCTCGTTGCCCGATTCCAGCAGTGCGCAGTTGCCACCAGTGTGGTTGCTCAGCCGAGATAAAACAAAACCGCTGCGTAATGAGGCACAGGGACCAGCGCACGCCGCGGGAAATCAGAGAAGCCTTTGAAAACATAAACAAAAAACAGGTGCGTGAGCCAGCCTTCAATCGCTATCACAGATGCCGAGGTTTCGTATCTACAGCACAATACGTGATAACATGCTTGGTGGGGGTTGATAAGATTTTTTTTTTAGTGCTCGCCTTTATGCCTATATATGCCACGTTCTTCCAGTCAAACGTTTCGTTGTTAGACAGTGCTTGTGTCGTGCAGTTCCTTATGTTTTTGCGTCTGCTTGCGCTGATCGTGGATGATGGATTGGCCAGAAGTTTACCAAGGCGCGATATATACACTGTTCCAACGATATTTAAAGAACCACCGCATTTTCTCGTGCAATCGGTGACCAAGGGAACTGCATCAATTGGTTCCTGGGTCACACCTTCGGTTTCAGTTTTCATAAAAAAAGAAAAAAAGAGAAAAAAAAACTTTGGTGAGTGTTGGCCTTCACCACAATTCTTTGTTACAGGCATTGCCCTTGTGAACCACAGTCCCGTAGACTTTAGCGATGGCTGAGCGGGTTGTAAATAATCGCCTCGTTTTGAATGAAAGCTGCCGAAATCGTACGTAGCGTGCAACATAAATGTAGGGTAGGCCTGTCAACATGGACACAAGAGATGACATCGATGCAACTCGGACACCGGGTATCGGATGCAAAGGCGCACTGGCACTGAAAAAGGAAGTAAACGCAAAGCTTATCTGAATTATTATTGTTCCTATCTAATTTCTCTTTATTTTTTTAGCAAGCGTTGTACAAAATGATCTATTATGAGGTACAGTGTGGCCAATCCCCCATGTGGGTATGAGCCAAGATCTCCTAGGAGACAAGACAAGACATGCGCAAGTACGCGGTCAAGAAGGCACAAGTCGCGGTGTACCCGAGAGGGAGCCGTTCAGGCATTCTTATTTGTTCTTCGCGTTGGTTATTCATCATCTGGCCCACGCATGCACTTATTATGTCATCTGACGATATGTCAGGCGCCCGACTATCGGGAGCGTTTTTTCATAAATACTGTGCAAACTGGGCATTTGTCGAATCGAGCGGTGCTTCGTCGTCTCGGCCCTGTCTCGACGATGATCGAGCGCGTTCACTCAAGGTTTGCTAGTTAAGCACCCTGGCAGGAAAATGATCCCTCGAGCAAACAAACAAGTGCTCCGACATCACGTCGAACGCAACTTTCGTATCAGACTTTGCACCAGTTTCACTCGGTATTCAAGACTTTTCAGAGTGTTCGGAAAACCGAAAGTATGAAACAAAAGCCTCACTGGTTCGTCGTGGCTCAGACCAGCAGCAGCAACAACAACAACAACAACAACAACAACAATAATGATGATGATGATGATGATGATGATGATGATGATGATGATGATGAACGAACACCGCGGAGCCGTTTTAGAGGCGCACCAACAAGAAGTATACGGAACAAGCAAAAGCTCGCCAGTACAACAAACGCCAAGGAACACCGCATCGAAGAACGATCGAAGCGTGGTGGAAACGATGCGGCATTATGCATGCGCGACGCGATCCTACATGTTTCCTCCACTTCGCAATTCGTATTTCACGGGCACTGCAGTTATGCATCTTCAACTTCGCGTCGGAAGTTATTACCATTCCATAATTCTTTCTTTCCGGAGCACGTCGGAGTGCTTCAGCTCACACTGACTTCCTATTCACGCAAATCGGATCAGTGCCGATTAGGATTAAAAAAACTGAAGTGCAAGAGGAGGTATAAAGTACGAAAATTGTACCGCGACCTATGGGAAACGGCTAGGTGGGGGGGGGGGGGGGACGATGCCTATAGGGGGTCGGTGTATTAAGCGACAGGCTTGCACTTGTCTCCCGTGCACCTCCTGGTGCTCCAACCAGACATCAAAGGACTGGAACGACCTCGCCACCAAGGCAGTGCTTTTATCCGACTTGGCCAGCTTCGAACACATCGTATGTACAAGTATACGCTGTTGGTTTAGTTGTTGCACGTCTGAATTAAACAGTCGATTTTAGGCCAAAATCACGACCACACTGAAAACGAAGAAACATGTACAGACAGGACGGGCGCTCCCTTGCAAAGTTGCAAAGGAGCGCGTACAAGGTTTCTGTACATGATTTGAAGTCTCGCTTGCACAATTACCGCTCCTTTTCTGTATTGTGAACGCCCGGATTTGTATTATCCTTTGTTCCTCAAGGAATAAATAGTTTTCTATTTATTCGCTAAGAAACACAGCATCTATATTAATTCCTCGAGGAACACAGAATAATACAAATACCGGCGTTTTGATACAGAAACGGAGCAGCAATTGTGTGCGCGAGACATCAATCACCATGCAATAGGTGGAACTCTGGTATATATAATGTGTTTCATAGTGTGATAAGGTGTTCTGTGTAGAATGGCGCGAGCAAGTTGTGCGTGCGTTCTTGATAAGTAGATTTATATTATAGCGCGTATTACTGAAAATGTAAACAGTTGCAAGTGGGCACCCTTCCCGTCCACTTGTTTCCTCATTTTCAGTGCGGTCGTGATTTTGGCGCGCCGTCGACTATTGAATTCAGACATCAAAGAAGTGCTGCTCTGGAGGATATGCCAATCCCTCATGTAAAACCCCTTCCTTTGAAGGCCGTTGCGGTATTATAAATAAATAAGTAAATGAATTAATTGAATAAATAATTATATAGTATGCGCTAAAAAACCCAAACCTGGGGGCCCTGTTCACAATTATCTACATGTATGAGCACAGGCCGGCAAAAGAGGAGCTCACTCGAACTGAGACTCACCAAAATTTCCCTGAACTAGACTCACTCGGAGTCACACACGGAATTTTCAACACGAAAGTGTTTCTTTTATGCCGGCCAGTGTTTTATGCCATATTCGTTGCCGGTCAGCAGAAAAGACACACCACGCGCAGTGCGCTTCTGGTATGGCCGTGGCGTTGAATACCTCCAACATGACGACGTTAGCACAAGTTCGGCGTCCAATCAGTCGCGTTCTTCCGGCTGCCCCATCGCTTTCTCTGATTCCGCCCTCACCTATGACCACAGGGTTTGTTTAATCATTACTCACGAATGTTAGTATAGTCGGGATGGAGGTGCATGACTAAGCGTTGACGTGTATGCACCCACGTTAAGCGGCGTTACAGCTGTCAAACACCAATAGACATTGCACGAGTTTGCTTATATGAATGTATTATACAGTAAACATCAAACTACTGTAAGAACAGTTTTACATTCGTGTTTTGCCGATTCCCATGACGGAGGTATCAAACTTGTTTTCTTTTGTTCAACCGGACTAACTCGTATACTCAAACAACCGAATATTATCCACCAGGGCACACTTGGACTATGGCCTCCGAGATCTCGGAGGCCATGCTCAGACTCGCAACTTGATCCGAGTCGACTGATGAGTGCGTTTGCCGACTTATTCAAGCTTCCCTGCTGGCCGGCCGCCACCGCTGATGATATGTCCGGCATCAGGACTGGCTCAAGTTATTTCACGCATAACCCTCTTACACGAACATTTCCCCAAGGAACAATTTCACAGCGAGAAGATTCTGGAAATACGGGTTCAGTAAGTACGACGCAGATGATGTGGGATGTCCCACCAATTCGGCCACTCGGTCACTCAACTTTTAAAGAGACGTGAGTACCCCACCCACACTTACGCACTTATACTCTTCAAGGGGCATTTCATTAAAAAAAATCTATCATTGACGGATTAGCTGATTACCCCATCGCGATCCCTAAAACACCGCGCCTGCCCCGGAAAGACGCTTGGTAAGCTAGAAAACGCACAAAAAAAGTTCCCGCACCAGAAGCAGTGGCGTCAAAACGTTTTCTGACGGCGTCCACTCAGGTATATATACTTAGTTCGTATTCGGAAAAAAATGAACTCCATTGTCCTCTGAGGGGACTTGACATACCGATTTTCGGGGAATATTGTTGAGCCAAATGTCCGCCACCGTGGATCACAATGTGCTCGGCTGCTGATTCGAAGGTCGCGGGTTCGATTCCGACCGCGGCCGTCGCATTTCGGTTGAAGTGAAATGGTAGAAGCCCGTGTACTGCGCGATTGCTTGTGCACGTTGGAGAACACCAGATCGCCGAAATTTCCTGAGCGCCCTCCGCTATACGCCATGTCTCATAATCATATCGTGGTTTTGGGACGTTAAACCCCTGCAGATATTATTATTATTATTATTATTATTATTATTATTATTATTATTATTATTATTATTATTATTATTATTATTATTATTATTAAGCCAAACGTGGCCGAACTTTGAAAAAAAAAAGATTTAAAATTTGTGATGTCCTATCGGAGATTTTCACTGGAAACGTGTGGGTGATGCTTACGAAAATTATTTTCCCCTCTATTATTAACCCGATGGCGGTAAAATTAACAATACTGCTATTTTAAGAACACGGTCTTTCAGTTCAAACTATTTCAGTGGTCCACTTTACTGTCACGTTAAAGCACTCACACTTTAAGCAATGACCGCGTTGGCAGCGCGACACTTCACCTGTGAAGCTGCCCCGAGCGCACGGTGGAT